AGCAAGTTTAAACCAAAGTCCTCTTTTACTCCTAATGTTTATGAACCAAGTATCATAGTCTTTGGGAAAAGTGGTTCTTAAAGATCTTAAGGCTTTGGAAGAATGGAGTAAGAAGTGGAGGAAGCATGATCTAACCAAAGAAGAACATTTAGCATTATGTAGACTGGCGTCTGATCAATCCATTAGTATAAAACCCACTGATAAAGGAGGGGCCACCGTTATCTTAGATACTCATGTATATATACAGGAATAGCTGCTGGCCATACCCTCTGAAATCTTGTATTTTGAATAATTTTACTTTATGGTGTGTATTTTAATAATTTGTACCACTGAGGAAGGCCTTGCGGCCAAAATACATTTGGTTTAATTTTTTTAAATTTATTTGTAACGCATTAAAGCTCTATTAATTTATTCTGTTGAGAGGCTTTTTGTCAACCCTCTTCGTTACCTGGTTTTCCCAGGCTGAATTTTCATCCTCTTTCTGTTTCGGTCTCTACGGTGCTACTGAACTTGAATCTAGGTGTTCTTCTGCAGGCTGTCGTGGCTGCCCTGGGAAACTACCTGCAAGGAAACGCTTCCAGGACATTGGTGGCCAGAGGACCACAAGAGCTGCCTTCTGCCGAGTCAGATTTTGCCCAAGGACAGGACTTCTGAAACCCAGGACATGAACAGTGAGCCCCTGATCTGAGAGGTCATCGCCAGTGTTCCCTCTAAGCTGAGTTAGTGTGAGCTAGCTCACCATTTTTTAGTCTCCGGCTCACACATTTTTGTCTCAGCTCAGGAAGGAGGGCTCCAGAGCAAAGTCATTTATGCAGTAGCCAAATCGCTCGCTCACAACTTTAATGCCAGTAGCTCACAAAGTAGAATTTTTGCTCACAAGACTCCACAGCTTAGAGGGAACATTGGTCATCGCTCACCTTCAGGCTCTGGATAGGGCTGCCACGGGTCTGGTATTGACCCAGACAGAGGCAGGTACTTTCACTGACTGTCCAGGGGAAAAGAAACCTGATAAAATACCAGACATTTAAAAAACAATTTCAGTGTTTTGGCCAAACAGTCAATGAAAATACTCGACTTTCCAGGTGAACCGACAACCCAAGCACAAATCCCGAGAGGCCATCGCTCACCTTCAGGCTCTGGATAGGGCTGCCACGGGTCTGGTACTGACCCAGACAGAGGCAGGTACTTTCACTGACTGTCCAGGGGAAAAGAAACCTGATAAAATACCAGACATTTTTTTAAAAAATGTCAGTGTTTTGGCCAAATAGTCAATGAAAATACTCGACTCTCCAGGTGAACCGACAACCCAAGCCCAAACAGAGTGAAGCACAGTGTTTGCACTTGGGGGGGGAGGCAGTGCCAAGGTAGCACGAGCCCAAAGCAGCAGCCACCTCTGCTGTTTTGCACTGGGGCTGGGTGCCCCTTTGAGAGTGAACACCATGCTCTGCACAGTTTGCCCTGGGAGAAGGGGAGGCGGTGCCACGCCCGAGCGCAAAACAGCAACAGCTCCTGCTGCTTCACAGTAAGTCTGAGTACTCCTCCCAGCACAAGCAGCATGCTTCATGCTCTCTGTGAGGAGAGGCAGCACCGAGTGCAAAACAGGAGCCACTGTGGCTGCCTTGAACTTGTGCTGGGGGCTCCTCTCAATGCAAACAGCATGCTTCACACTGTTTTCTGTGGGAGGAGGTGGCTCTATAGACCTTGAACTTCTTGTGTTGGCAAAATAGTTAAATATTCAGAGATTGCAATGGATCTTTCCTTATTTATTCATTAGATTTCTATCCCGCCTTCCCGCCGAAGCGGCTCAGAGCGGCTTACAACAATTATAAAACCAGCATAAAAGGTAAAGGTAATGGTTCCCCTTGCTTGAAAGCCAGTCGAATCCGACTCTAGGGTTGCGGTGCTCATCTCCGTTTCAAAGCCAAAGAGCCAATGCTGTTTGGCCGGCATGACTAAACACCAAGGCACACGGAATGCTGTTACCTTCCCACCGAAGTGGTACCTATTTATCTACTTGCAATTTCTTGCTTTCGAACTGCTAGGTTGGCAGGAGCTGGAACTAGAGACGGGAGCTCACTCCGTCATGCGGCAGACTCGGGTCTCGA